CTAATGATATCTAGTTCTGTAACTGGAACATTATTTTTTACTTTGCACTATAAAGCAAAATCAGACTTTTTAATATGAAGAGTATTAATACACTCTAATTTATTGTTATGTATTCGAAGGTTTTCCATTCTTTTAATAATCGACTCAAGTCGACTTAGTCAAGTCGAATTTTTAAGATCGACTTGGTTCACTATCTGAAAGACTGAGTAAGGTCCAAAGGAACGCATTTAAGATCTGAATAGGCTTGTGCATGATATTGGAGACTTATATAATAATATACAGTTTACAATATTAATTAATATATATATATTTTTTAGAATATATTTTTTTAGAATAAATATAGACTATTCTTCAAAATTGGTGGAAAAACCAAAAAGAATTTTACCTAATTAATTGCGAGGTTTTCCGGCAATTATGATTATGATCGTGGTAATAGAGCGAAAACACCATTTTTCTAAGATATCTGAAAAATATTTCTATTCGAATCGCTTTTTATTTTCTAAAAAGTATATTTTCCTTCTTCTCTTTTAGTTTATAGTATTCAAACGAAGTTATTATTATCCCGGATAATGAACCAGTCTCAGAAGAAACGGTTAACCATTCATATGAACTCGAAGAATTAGGATTCACTGAAGAAGAACGGTATATATATAAGGAACTGTTCGGATGAATTGTGATCTTCGAAATTTTTGATAGTTCATGAATAATGGTGACTCATTAAAGTTCTTAATGAAATACATATAATAATGAGAAAATTGGCTTTAAAAGGTCGCAAATATGTATAGCTAATAAATAAATACGTATTGTATATTAAAAATATGGGACCACATGATTGTTACTAAAGGTTTTACTTTTCTAAAAAATTATTAGACATTCGAGGAAACCTGATCGAAAAAAAGTTTATTATTTACATAATTGTTCTTAACTTATTGTGTACATATTCAATATACCTATTAGACCTAACACACCATAACACCTTGTCTAGTTATTACATCACTCTTAGGTTCTCAAATTTCTTAATTTGAAAATTAATAATTATAGCATTCGATTTGACAAATTTTATTGGGACACATATTTTGGGTTTGGTTATAATCTCCAATGAAGTAGAAATCCCGATTCTAAACCCAAACAAATATCATAATTAGGTCGCAACTCTAATTATCGCTTAACTTCACCACTTGTCGGGTCTGTCCAAGTTCTTGCAGGTCTGTAAAAAAATAAATAAATAAATTAGATATTTACAATTTTGTAACATATAAAACCATCATTACCGCCTTGATATTTCCTCCAAAATCATTCAATAAAAATTTATACCTTATGATTTCTGCGACGGTAAAGCTTTTCCTTTTACTTATTGGTCTACAAGCCTCAATTCTTACTACATCACCTAAGGAGCAAATTTCCTTTTCATCATGTGCAAGGAATTTTTTGTGTCTCGTTATAATCTATCCATTTTAAAATTATCTTTCGTGAATAAATTAATATATAACGTGTATGACCCAATATGATCACGTAAAATACCATTCAATTACCTTACGAACTATGGGATGAACGAATTGCCTCGCGACTCGTACTTTTACGGTTTTTTGCATTGCAGTACCCACTACAATTCCAAAGAAATTTTGTCGCCCCATTATGAATTGGTAGGAAATTACGCGAATATGTAAGTAGTTCTAACGTTAGTGAAAAAAAAAAATTCTGCAATTTGATTGGCTGATCTACCTGTATATACACAAATTGGAAAATCGTTAGTCCTTAGATAAATCATGAAACTTACACCTGAGCTTATTGAACGTTCACTCAGCTATATTAATTCCGTAAAGGATCGTGAACTAGATTTACGGGGTATCCTTTAGAAGGGCTTTATGTAGTTGTTGACAATTTGGAGTTTCGTTTTAAAGTGTAGTATAGATGAACGCAGGAGAAATCAGAGTTTCTTGGTAAAACACTCAAGAAAACATCGGGATCTATGTGTTATGTAAGAATAATCTTGTATGATATATTTGTTTCGAAGAAAAAGGTCAAAATAAAATGAATGTATATTCTGCGATGGCAAAATTATTATTAGTTTTGCAACAATCAACTCTATGT